GGATGGAGCTCCTCCAGCTCCTGTGCTGGTCCAGGCTGCTGCTGCCCCAGAGCCCAGGTAAAAGAGCACGTCTGCAACCTGCAGGGACAAACTTACAGTTGTTGATCTGTAGTTCTGTATGCTCTAAAGCAATCATTTGTCCTCAGGGTTGTAGTAATCCCCTTCCTCACTGATGGATGACCTCCACAATAACAACATGTGCAGAAACAATTACATGAGATTCTGTGAATTTGAACAAGTTAAAAGCTTTTGATAACACTGTGTATTTTAGTGGTGTACCATGTTTTTTGCTCATAACTGCAGCAAGCTCAGCCCAGATCTCAGAGTAGTTACTGAAAGCTTCTGCGTATAATAACCAATACATGGCATGAAACTACGTCATTACCATGTGAATTATGGCCTTAGACATGTCAGCCATCGAATCTCTTCTTACCAAGATTTGTTTACCAGAAGCTGAAGTATTCCTTTCACACAGTTGATGATAAATGTTTTTTTCAACTAGTGTTGTGGAATAAAATAATTTGAATATCAATTAAAATGGACTGAGACATATCTTCATGAAAGGATTTTTCATGGTTATAGACTGACAAGGTTAGAGAATGACTGTATTATCCTAATCACTTCTGTTTTCATTAATGGCTTAATGAAAACATTTCCCCACAGTTATAAAACATGACTGTAGATCTTAAACATTGGAATATGGGTTCTTTATCAAAACACATGCTGCTGTGGCTACAGCTGATGCTGCACCACTCTGGGATTTCAATGGAACCCAATGACAGATAAACTGTTTACATTAAAAGACTCTATCAAAGTTATTTTGCACCTAGTTTCATCCTAATCCATCTGATTTTTCTATAGCTTTGACAAGATGACCTCTCTCACTGTGTGTGCAGTATTGATGTCATTACTGAAGAGCTGCTCTTCAGCCTTTCTGCTGATAACAAAGTAAATGGAAATGTAGAGAAACCTTGGGGAGGTAAACAGCTTGTTCAGGATCCAGCTAAAAAATGGGAAAAATTACAACAGGAAAGGATATCTATTGTTACAAGGAAAGTGGTCACTGTTCCACTTTAAAAAGTGTTTACATGATACAATGAAGGCATATTGTGTCTTAGAATTTCATAAACTTTTCAAAAATTTAACTTGAGTAAAGGGAAGCTCAGTAAGCGTTATGAGAATTCAAAGCTCAGCCTATGGCTGAGCACCTTTTTAGACTCAGCTACAAAGTCAAACATTTTGAATGTAATTACCTTATACTAATGTAGCGAAAAAGAATTATGGTTGTGTAAAATACAAGTGATAGAGCAGGGCCATGGATTATATGCATGTCTTGTGTTTGTATGGTTATCAGAGAAATGGCAGTAAAGTGGCAAACATTAAGGGAAGGAGGAAAAAAAATCAAATGGAAAAGAAAAACATCCTATTGATTTGTTCTGCTTGAAAACCACTACATACATAAAATACTGAAAATGGAGCAGGTTTGTAACTACTATCAAAGTTTCTTTGGTTCAAAAACACACAGAACGCTAGCAATGTGCTTTAAATTAAGTACGCGTTTCAAAGGTTAACAGGACTATTCCTTAGGCAGAAGAACAAAGAGGAGCTGGTTAAAGAAAATTGGGTACACTACAGCTACTTAAAATACTGTATCCAGGCACAACTCGTTTGGATGCCTTTGAGCTCAAAGTTAATTTGAATTATACAGAGGTGCTTTAAAGAACAAAAATACTAACCTGTGTTTTATCTAAGCTCTTTTAGCTGAACTGAGCTACTAATTAAAAATCTTCACTGCTCTTCCTAATTTCTGATGTATTTTTTTAACAAAGTAATAAAGCCATCTAAAAGCTCTGTCCTTCCTCACAGAAGACTGTTAACATCTCTGAAATGCTTTGTCATCCAACAGTTTTACTAATAACATGTCTGTCATCTGCCTTGACTGTATCTCTCGTAGCCAATCTAAAAATATTGTGCAGTAGGACTTCTGAATGCAATACTGATACATATGCCAACATTCCTCTCAGGGACAATACTACAAGAGTTTACAATCCAGGCAATGCTTAAGTGTAACAATATTTCTCAAATAATACATTAAACAGATGTGTACCTGGTATTATAAATATGTGACATAAAAATCTATTGGGTTGGTCATTGTGCATATTAAAAACCATTCAAGTAGGTCAAATTGTGGATAACTAAAACTTTAAAGACAGCAATTTTAATAAAACTGTCAATACAATTTTCTTTGTAAAAACATTTGAGACTGATTATGCTGCTTATATTGAAAAAGAAACACAAGGTCTATATCTTTAGATCTTTTATTGAACTGTGAGCACAGCATCAATAACTGCTTCTCAGCTGTAAATGAAAATTGATTCCAGATCTAACCTGACGTTTTCTGTGTGTCTTTAATCCCAAATCACCTGCAATGAGACATAAGAATCAGCAGTTTGTCTATGGGACAAAGCATGTGTCATATGGGCAGCTCCAAAGTGTTTACACTGAAGACACTGTGGGGTGTGTTTACATGGGTTAGATGTAGGCGATAACTGCGGTGTCTCCAAGCGAGGCCCAAAAAGTGATGACGGGAGTTGGCAGCTGGAGTGGAGTGACTTGTAACTTGCCTCATGCTTTATTGCAAAGATCAATATGGTCCAAAGCTTTACAGAGCTGAAGTCTGAAGGGACCTGCAATGAACATCTCATTGGACCTCCTGCATGTCACAGTCCAAAGAAATTCACTTGACAACTTCTACATCAAGCCCACAAGTGTCAGAAGTCTAAAAGGAGAGTGAAACCACAAGTTTTCCATGCAATTTAAAGCAGTTTGGCACCAGCAGTTTGCATTTCCAGCCAGCTCTTACTTGCCGAAGCCTCTTAAGCCCGCTGGGGTAAAATTAAAGTGTATAGCCTCCTTTCAGGAATCTTTCTTGGTCATTATGTTGCCAGGCCATCATCATGTGTGCCTTAACTCTTTTTGGCCGAACCATAAAAGTCCTAAGACTTATATTAATAAGGGTTCTCCAGATCATGTTTATAACTCTTAGGAATAGTTTCCAGTTATTCAAAATTCTGTTTGAAAAGTGAATGCTAAAAGTGGGCAGCATGTGCAATAACAGCCTTGTGAATGCTATCTGTAGAATAAACACCTTCCACTGACTTCAACCTGGTAGTTCTCATCCAGAAATCAGGTTCAGCTTCTTCATTATAGAACTGACTGGAGCTATCGTGTGTGTTGTGTTTCTCCTCAGGAGTGGGAAGAAAAGGAAAGAGATGTTTAATACCTGAGAGAGCACAAGGTCCACAGACCCAGGAACAACTCTCCCTGTCAGAATGTGCACATGCGTACAGTTGAATTATAGTGGCTATTAGACTGCAAAATCTTTATGTAAAAAAAAAAAAGTATTTTTCTAACTTTGAGCTCCACAGCTGAACATTCAACATTGTACCATTCATATATTGCAACTGCCTTGATCTATTCCTCATGAATAAATACTTTACATACTTTTTGGAAAAAATATTTTGCAGTCAAAAACCACTGCAGTTACTTTGTTGATGTTTATGTGCCTGGCCAGTGGGACAGATCAACCTTCCTTTGCATTTCCAAGTCCCTCTCTTTAACGAGATATGGCAGAAGCTGCTAAAGTGTGAAGGCAGTGCCAGTGTAACGTGTGAGTGACGCAGCAGAGCCACGCTGCTCAGCTTTGCGAGGCCTTTGTCTGGGACGCAGTGTGTGACAAAAATCTAACGAACAGACACACAGAGTCATTCATTCAGGAAACCTAAAATACTGCATGATTCTTTCCTATCATATGTATAACTTTGTCTGTGCCCTCTATTTGTAATACAAATAAAAGAGATGCAACCACTGTGTTTGTACAACAACTCAATGCACAAGCACAGGCTTTTGATGCTTTGGCTTCAGATGAGAGCACAAGCCTGTCCCAGTGCTAAAAAATACTGACTTGTATGACTAAGGGGTCAGATGACACCAGAAGGTAAATCTTTCCTTGCATGACCCTAAAGGACAGATTAGGTAGGTTGAAGGAGAACATTTACGTGGTTTAAAAATAAATAGGAAAAAAGTATTGACTTATAATTAACATATCCAGCGATGAACAGATGATCTTATACTGAATTATAGCATTACCTTCCTCTCTATTCCAGACCTTTACACATATGAATGTATTGCATATATAAAGTAACGTGAAGGATGAATTTAAGCCAAAGCCTCTTTTTTTTTTTCTGATAAGAATGTTGAGAATATGAGTTTCAACAGCTTTATTTCCCAGTATTATCTATAAATATTTATAAGTAGGTAGGATAGAGAATAACATGAGCCAGTTTTCTGAAAATCATTCTTCATTAACGTCCCAACTAGGTTGAGAGACTTTCAATATTGATTTATAGCTACACACTGAAGATTTTCCCTCTCACAAATGGGAATCACTGAATTACTAACTACGGACTTTACTCACTGACTGGAAAAGAACTTACAGACCCAATCTTTTTGGGTACAATTTTACAAATGAACTGCAAAGTGCAAACCAACTCTGCAGTTGTGTTAGTGGTCCAATGTGGTCTTTTTACATCCACTTCCAAAAAAGTCATCATCCAAATGTCAGAAATTGACTGCAGAACAATTGGAGCCAGTTCTACCATGAGTTTGGTACAATGGAGGACAGAAACTCAGAGCACATTAGCTATTCCTGCTTGATGCCACATGTAGTCTCGTATTCCAAGGCTAGTACGTCATGTTTTCATTTAGTTTAATCCACTTCACAAAGTTAATTCAGCAAAACTGACAAAATGCATTCCTATTTAAGAATATGTTTCCTCCCACTGAGGTTTTATGTGCAAGCAAGATTTAAGCTAATGGATTCTGCAGCACCTCAAAACGCTTTTGATGCAAATATAGTAAACCGACATGCAAGCACATTCAACTGATGAAACAGCTTTATCAGATTATATGATCTATGCACTCGTATCAGATGTACTTACCTGTTCATTGTCATCTTCATCACTGCTGAGTTTCAGATCATCCTCAAGCATTCTGAAAAAAAGAGAGACAATACAGAATTACATTTAGTGAATTAACTTTATATACAATGGGCTGAATCTACTGTTCAGCAAAGTCAGAGGAAAAACTCTCAATTCAACAGCAAAATCAGGTCTGTCATAAGCAAACTGATGAATACTCCATGTATGTATGTATGTTTTGGTGCTCTGTGGAGTGCTAGGTAAGAACAAATGTCTTTCAGACTCATCCATCATAAAGTTTGGCAGTCAGTTCCTCTTTCATGTATTCTTTTATTTGCATATTTTTTCACGGTGATTAGTCTACATACACCTATGTGTATTTCCAAATCAGGAGATGGAAGGGAAATTCAGCTCTGAGACTGAACTGAGAAAAAGTGCTCCATGTTTCAGTCTTGATCGAGGGCATCACTGATCTTTGAGGCTGATACCAATCCCCCACCGTATTCCAACTGAGAATGCAGAATGGAGAATAGCAAGAAGAGGAGGTGCTTGTCTGAGGTTTGATGGGACCTCACAGTTGTTAGTATCAAAAGGCAGAGCAAATGTTGTACAACCTAGGAATCTGCTAATTCGTTGTTAGTATCAAAAGGCAGAGCAAATGTTTTACAAGCTAGGAATCTGATAATTCATATCCCCATTTTTTATTTATTTTTTTTTAAATACAGGGAAATTTCATAGATTTATTTATTTATTTATTTATTAAATACAGGGAAATTTCATATCACTGCTCCCTGCCTTTGGTTAAAGGGGAAGGAAACTCCTAAAAGATATGGCTGTCCCAATGCCTCTTTCCTCTCCTTTGGCAGAAGAAAGAGTAATGCATATTACTATATTAACATTCATGTTATATTGCCTCTTTTTTTTTTTTTTAAATCCATGATTTGCGTATGGCAAAACACATGGGGTAAGAAACCATATTATTTGCTATTACACCTTTGCAGAAAGGTCTCTTCTTTCAAGGTCTGTCTACCTAGAGAGACATGACTAGCACTCACCAAATACACTCCCATACAGCTTCCCATATATTCATGCTTTTATCTGGTGTTCCTCCTCAGAGCTGGTATTCCTTTGGGCCCACTCATACCTCACATCCATATTTTCACCTTGACAAATCCTCTTATCACAGGATGACGTACGAATGAATCGGCACATCTCACCCAGATCTGCTGTGACAGCCACTAAAATTGCCGAGCTTCCTTTCTTCCAGCCTGAGCTCCTTTACCCACGGCAGGAGGCTCACAAATTGCAATTACTGTTTCCTTTCTGCCTTGATGGAGACTGAAGTCTATGATTTTTTATTGTTAGCCTTTAAATAACTGTAGCAATCAATGGATGTTCTGTTAGGAAGTTTTTTTTTTTGTTTGAAGACTACCAGTAAATCATGGAAGCCTCGTGGTATAAGGAATTTTAAAGAGGGGACAATAATCCCAGTGTGGAAATATCAGGAGCCCTGCTGGTGCTCTTAAAAAGAGAAAGTGCAAGGAGATCTTTAAACCGGTTTGTAGAGTCATCTGTCTTACGGTGACCTCTGTTGTCGGGCAGCTCAGTGGTTACAAAGTATGTGGACACGTAACTACAAGTCATTAATGTCTTGATAAATGGCAGATGCCTCCCTGTAATATGTGAACCCATAAAAGTAAGACTGTAGCATGGATAAAGAATCTTCTAAAAGTAAGAATTTGTGGTGGGTTGACCCTGGCTGGATGCCAGGGGCCCACCAAGCTGCTCTATCACTCTCCTCCTCAGCTGGACAGAGGAGAGAAAATACAATGAAAGGCTCATGGGTTGAGATAAGGACAGGGAGATCACTCAGCAATTGTTACGGGCAAAACACACTTGACTTGGGAAAATTAGTTTAATGTAATGAGAAATAACACCTAAATCTTAAAAACACCTTCCCCCCATCCCAGCCCTCTTCCTCCTGGGCTCAACTTCACTCCCAATTCTCTACCTCCTCCCTACTTTGGTGCAGGGGGACAGGGAATGTGGGTTGTGGTCAGTTCATCACACATTGCCCCTGCTGCTCCTTCCTCCTCAGGGGGAGGACTCCTCATACTCCACCCCTGCTCCAGTGTGGGGTCCCTCCCATGGGAGACAGTCCTCCATGAACTTCTCCAACATGAGTCCTTCCCACAGGCTGCAGTACTTCATGAACTGCTCCAGCGTGGGTCCCTATGGGGTCACAAGTCCTGCCAGCAAACCTGCTCCAGAGTGGGCTCCTCTCTCCATGGGTTCACAGGTCCTGCCAGAAGGCTGCTCTAGTGCATGCTCTCCACAGGGTCACAACCTCCTTTGTGCATCCACCTGTTGCAGTGTGGGGTCCTCCACAGGCTGCAGGTGGATATCTGGTCCACCATGGACCTCCACGGGCTGCAGGGGAACAGCCAGCTTCACCATGGTATTTACCACGTGCTGCAGGAGAATCTCTGGTCCAGTGCCTGGAGCACCTCCTTCCCCTTCTTCTTTACTGACTCCAGTGTCTGCAGAGTTGTTGCTCACACATATTCTCACTCCTCTCTCTGGCTGCAATTGCTGTTGCACAGCAACTTTTTTCCCCTACTTCAATCCTTTATCCCAGAGGTGCTGTCACCATCACTGACAGGCTCGGCCTTGGCCAGTGGCAGGTCCATCTTGCAGCCATCTAGCATTGGCTCTATCAGACATGGGGGAAGCTTCTGGCAGCTTCTCCCAGAAGCCACCCCTGTTGCCCTCTCCCCACTACCAAAACCTTGCCACATAAACCCAATACAGAATTGTTCAGGAAATATTAATCTTTAGAGGCCTGGACTTTGGTGAGGAACGGGAACTTTTAATGCTGTTTATCTAGCAGGCACATTCATTTGTTTCCCTAGTGTCATTACTTGCTGTGCTATTTTCAATGTATCGCTGTACCTTGATCTATCCACAGCCCCAGACTGTTATCTGTGAGTCTCATTACACACCAGAAGGACAATACCCCCAGGAAACAGAGACCATCTTCATACAGGACTATATCATTCTGATTCTTAACTCTAATTCAATCCTACACTCTTACTTTTAAACCTACATCTCACTTTAATGTGTAAATTATCTACTGCTTTAAAGCAGCACTGCTAGATAATGCGCTCTATTATTATTTTTTAATGCAGATCTAAGAAGACATGATGCAAAGGATCTTTTCATGAACGAAGCCCAAAGGGTGGTGGGTTTTTTTTCTTTCCAGCTATCCCTTCTTTTTCATTTGTTACATGTTAAATTCCTTTTTGACATATCCTGGTAGAAATAAACCAAAAAGGACAAAGGAACTTCCATATTGGATAAATGGAAAGAACAAAGAAGAAAACATAAAAAAGATAAATGAATACACTTACTAAACTAACCAAACAGCCATCTGAAACGGCTGATTAATAACTGTCCTCATACAGCCTATACTGCAGACACTTTCTAACAAGTACAGTAAGCACAAGACATGTTTATTGAATATTGAAAAATATAAAATGGATATAAAACATGATTAGTAGGAAGGACAACTGTTAGAGTTGGTTTCAGATAAACTAAATTTGCGGGATTTATGAGTTCCCTTCAAGAGACTAATGGATGTTTAGATGACTAGAGAGAGAAAAAAAATGGATTTTGGTATTTCTTTAGCAGTTCCAAGCTTATCACTTGGAGTATATAATTCTTCTTAGCCTGTTCTGCTAAATGAAGAATATGTCATCCCATTCAGTTACAAAACTCAAAGGTTAAACAACTAAACCACACAGCTGCTAAAATGCATCACACTCTCCTGGCAGATGGAATAATTAAAGAGAAACTGACTATGGTATCAACAATAAATATATGGTAGCCAGAGAAGTGAGGGAATAAATTAAAAATACACAGTATGTGCAAATGAAAGTAGAATGCTGAAGAGTTCAAATAACCTACTCCCAGAGGATATTGGTTGGAAGAGGTAATATTTTACAGAAAGTAGAGGACTATATAGTCTTCCACAATTCTAAAATGTGCTTAATATTCTGAAGACATGGGTCACAGTAGCTTGTACTGTTTAATGTTTCTATTAACTCTCATTTATAAGCAAGCAGCATCTGATCACATTCAAAGCCCAATAAGGGCTTTTTAAGATTGCCAGCAACCTTAATCCAAGGTGACTATTTCACTATCATATCTAGAGAGGTAACCCATTTCAGCTTCAAAGCCCTGAGACAGAAGAGCTCTGTATCTACAGCTCTCACAAACACTGTCTGGATGGTTTGAACGTGAAATTAGGCCCTCTTGAGTGAAAGATCCCTGTAAATACACATATGATCCGTGCTGCTCTATGTAACTGCTAACCTCAGAAACACCCAGACTGGAGATCACAGAGTATATTTGTAATGAAGATCAGGTCAGCTATTAATAAAGGCCAATTTGGCGGATATGTTAAAGTTACAATGAATACTGTCAATGAGGGCAAATCAAAAAGAAAACTGCCTGTATCAGAAAGCTATCTCCAGAGGTGTTATGAATTCATTTTATTTCCTATTCTTCTCTGACCCAGCTGACATTACTATTGAATATACATGTACTTGTTTGTCTTTTCATCCATAGCTAATGCAAAACACCACTTTAGGGAAAGAGTGGGATTAAGTAGGATTTTTTATTTCATTATTAGAGCAATGCCATTTACTGTAACAGTTGAAGTTGTGTCAGCACATTTATTATAATCTACAATTTTCAGAGGTTTATAATTTGGAATGTGAAATTATTACAAAGTAGAAACGTTGGGACAAAGCAACGCATTTATCTGTGGTGTAAGTAGGGGCAATCTCATTGACTGACTACAATACCCACTTCCTCCAGGGATGAATCAGCTCCCAAAGCAGATTGTTCCTACATTACAAATTTAACTAGACAAATGTCTGAATGAGGGCTTTATTAGGATGAGGTCTGTAAAAGTCTCACCAGAAATAGTAATAACAAAGCACTATTTTTAGGAGCCTTCAACTTGTAACGTGCCTCAGAAGATGATGGAATGGACCAAAGTAAAAATTT